GGAGACATCTCCTGATGATCATTTAATGCAAAATGCATAGATAGCATTGAAAACAAACTCTACAGAATAGAAAGAAGAGCTAAGAAAATTACAAAGCATACCAGTGATTGACTAAAAGAGGGAAAAGACCATTAGATAAGTGTATTTTTCACACAGATTTTTAATTTATAGAAGTATGGGCATAGTAGACATTAGGTGGACAATGAAATCAGTGTGATGAATTGTGATTTCAGTGTTTCCCCTGTATTATAAAAAACTTGTATCTTATTTTGACACACCGGGTGCATCTACACATGCAATTAATTCTAAGTAATAAACTCTGGAGAAGCTTAAGGTTGAGTAAACTACTCCCGGGCACAGCATCTACATGCGCACACGAGACAGCAGCAATTTGAGCTGAGGTAGAGCACTTTACACGAGAGCCGCTTTCTCTGCTCTGCCCCAGGCAGTGGGTGGCAGTGTCAGGTGGCAGAGGGGCTGGCTGGAGCACAAGGATGATGAAAGACCAGTGCTAGGTGGCAGGCAGGAATCTGCCCCCCTGCTGCCTGGGCTAACCAGATGCAATTTATGCCCATGGTCAGTGTCTATACATGCATTTAATCTCAGTTAATTGCTTTGCGGTGGTGTTAATTGGTTTACTGTGGCCTAATACCATCACATGTATAGGCAGTGACACTTTACTCCACAGCTAATTAGTCTATTCTGCAGTAAAGTGCATGTGTAGATGCCACTGTTACTAAACTATCATCCAGTCAATCACCTTTTCTCTGCAAAGGTTATGAAGATGTTTTTCACAGCGGTAGTGACATTCCTGAAAGATTTTTTTCTGAAGTAGTGCAGCACATCTAGCACACTGCTTCCTATACTGACTTCAGTGCAGAGGATCAGAGGTGCCATTTCATAGGAAAAAGACAAACTTATAATACATGAAATTTCAAAATAGGAAAACTGATGGGGCAAGAAAATGTAGTTCCTGGGGAATGTTTTGGCAAAGGACAATAAAAACTATATGTGGCATATGGATGCCTTTTAGGCATTGATATGCAGCTAGTTGCTAAAAATACTCACCTGTGCTTTAGGTCTCTGTCCAAGGTGCCAACAGCTTTCTGAGCAAGTAGAAAAGAAGGTAGAACATGAGAAAAGATGTTTGGACCCTTTGAAATATAAAGTGATATGAAAATTCTTTTCCTAATAAGCTCTGAATTTTTTGTTTTTGGAAAAATAAGATATAATGTGCACGTACCTAAAAATGCATGGGAACATTTACAATATTTAACATACACACTGGAAAACTCTTTAAGCGTTTACCAATAAAGACGATTCTCCATAAGATTTCTGTCTTTTTGCTACCTAACCAACATTGATACATTTTGTGTATTTAAACTTTAATGGATTTTTATTAAAATATATCTGCTAAACAAACTTATACGGATGCTGATTGCTGTGGCAGCAGGGTAACTCATTTCAGTGAAGTCAGTTTGTTTACAAAACAGGCATTTTCTGAGTTAATAAATTAATACTCGGGTATTTAACATCAAAACAACCTCCCAATTCCCTGTCTACCTGGTACAGAAAACACAGCAGAATACACCCTCAGTCTGTCTTCCTATGTTTGTCATCCAAATGATTGAATAAAAGGTTTAAAAACACAGATTTCTTCCTTGTATGCATTTATCCTGGTTCAAAAAACACATTATTTTTCCTCCAAAGTAAAGCATCTTCACTGCAATTAAAAACCTCATGTCATAGGGTTCCTATTTGTAAAAATAATTGTCACAACCTGTCTAATCTCAGTGTATTAACTTGACTTGGGGTCTCTCTCCAAGGAGTGCAATAACACTGTTCTACTGTATAATTCATTTCTTAGGGGAGCAATTTTCAATATAAGGAACAGGAAGTTTTTTGATCCCTGCACTGAAGTAGATCCCAATTTGAGGAGTAAGACATTCCTCAAGACTGTCAAGACAACATTGAATTAGGGCAATAATTTAATCTTGATTTTTGACAGAGCTGATTACTCAGAATTGTGAGAGAACTTTTACCTGAGACCAAATGTGTTTTACTTTCTACTTCCAGGGAAAGTGCCTTGCAGCTCACAGAAGTGGTACTTAGTGACAATGGCAAATGGCAGAGATACTTTCAAACATGCAGTTGTATAAAAATAAGTGAAATTACCTTTCTGCCTTAGAATAATATCTGTTACTTGTGTATCTGTTGGCCTTTTGCTTTCTCAGAGCTGTTCCTGACCTCCACCTGATGCTGCTCAAAGTCTAACCCAGTAGCCCATGTGTTTCCCCTCTGAGGAGGCTCACACATTTCAAAGACAATCAGTTCTTATTCCAGCTGCTTGTATCCTTTCCCAATGACTCAGCAAAGTTTCAAATGCCTTTCACTGGCACTCATCAAAACTATATATATATTTGCTAACTGGAAAGCCAAGTAAAATATTTTCCTTAGATTTTTTTAGTCTTATGTTAAAGGACGGGCAATTAGATATTTTCATCTGAAGTAGTACACTTTATTGTGTACTACTTCAGATGAAATTTTTAAGTGTAACCACATGGGGTGTGCATCTAGTAGCCTTTCATAGAAAGTTTTGCAAGCCTGTGGTATCTAGTTTTCACCCACGTTTAGAAGAATATGAGAACTCCATTTAAATTAAGATACAAAGCAGCTGATAACAGGTGGTTTACTTGTCTCCTGCAGGCTCATGTGATGAGATTTCCATTGTATATGATAAGGTACTTACATATTTTTCTTTACCCAGGTTCTCTACCAAATCATCAACTTGGTGTACAAGAAGTTCATTGAGTTTTAAAAACAAATGACGCTGCAGTGAAGGAATCAGCATGATTTTGGTACTAAGTTGACATGGCACTCCTATGTTCTAGCAGCTGGCTCAGTGCTTCCCTGGTAAGCATATCTTCCATTTTGTTGCCAGAAACATATTCCTGGGGAATCAGTATGGACTTCTGCAAATAGTTTTTTTCTTTTTCAAATAGATTGTGCTTTTAGTAATCAAGTAAGTCTCCGGCGTTCCATTAATTGTCCAGCTAATTAGCTATGAGCAATCTGGCATTTCCTTTTTATCTATGACTTAATCTAGTTTTTGTTCATTCACTAGCATGTGTAATTCCTCATCGATTTTGACATTTATCAGTTGCATTAACATTTGGCAAGTTTCATTTACTCCAGATTTAAATCTTTAAACAGACTAAGTTACTTTATGTAACTTCTGTTACATTAAACTCTATAATTGCCACTTTTTGTGTCTGCACACTCAATGACCCACATTTGCTGTCACTAATATATACTCACCAACACAGCGTCTCAGCTTTGTATATACCAATAACATACTAGTTGTTTTTCTTAGGACACATGTTCTGAATTACTTTTAAAAAAATCAAGAGTTTATACCTAACTGAGCTTCTGTGTGTACGCAGATATTCACACAGATTGTATCTACATGTATATGTGTGCATGAAAAAGTACTTAAGATGCTGTAGTGTGATATAAAATGTTACTAGCATAAGTAGCAAGGCTATGAGTGAGTTATACAGGTCATTCCAAATGAAGGCTGTATGTACTACATTATCTAATGCACTGTGTACATGCCACTGAATTTACAGAAAAGTGTTTTTTTAAATGTTTGAGAAAATTATTTGCCATTACTGATTGGAAGTAATTGCATATCCTTTCCCCTGCAGAGTCAGCTGCTTTGGTATCATGAGTTAGGATGCAGAAGAGACAGGATATATCCCCAAGAGATTAAAAACTTCTGAACTTACCTAAAATAGCGTTTAGAGACATCCTGATACCCCAGTTTAACATCTAGTCTGTTGGCCCCTTTTGAGACTAGAAACATTAACTTTGGGCACGTTTACATGTCATTGTACAGCAACGTTGCTACAGTTGCTACCTTTTGGAAGTACTAAAGCAGCAGTTCCCAATGTAGGGTTGTGACCCAAATGAGGGTCATGGGAGCAATGCTGGTGGCGCCACACACAAAGGATGAGCTGCGCTGTGTGCCAGAAGCTCCCCCACCCTTGCCCCAGGCCGCTGCTGCACTCCGCTCCCAGCAGCAGGTCACAGCAAAAAAAGGTTAGGAACCACTGTACTAAAGCATGGTGCAGTACAGGTAGTTACTGCCCCGTGCACATAGCGTATGTTTAGATTTTGCTGCTACATTGCCACAGTGCTGTACTATAACTGGGGAGTGCACCACCATGGTGACATAGCTGGCAATCACATATAGACCCTCATGATCACTATATTGCTGTAGTGCGCTGCATGGTGACGTTGTGAGTTGCCATGTTGCTGTCGGGCAACATGTAGATGTGCCCTGCATGTTCATTTTAAATGGTACAAAAACTTTGGTTTCAAGAATAGCATGTTCATGAGATGCTGGGCCTTAAACCTTTCACTGATTTGGGGACAAGTATACATCATACACAGGAAACCTAAAACTCATGTAATTTGGTGGAAGAGAGAAAACTGAATGTTTGGTGGAGAGAGGGTAAAACACCTCTGCTGGACTGATTGTAAAGACAAATGTTGCAGCTGCTCAGAAAATAATGAATAGAATATAGCTGGATTATGAGGACTGAAGTGCAGTTTGTTACCTGGCAGTTGGGGGAAATAGGAATGGAGGCATTTATTATCACAGAAAAGGAAGAAACATTCACAATAGTGAAAAAAAGGTTTGCATTTTCTCTCCAAATCTGAAGAAAATTCCCTTTTAACTTCCTAAAACTGCTTGCATATGGCTGAGATTAAGCAAGGGAAAATTATTCCCAATGGCAAATGCTTGAAAAGTATTTTTATAAAAGAAACTTTTTTGTGACCTTATCTGGGCATTGGTAGCACATAGCCCATATATAATGATTCTGACGTATGCATAGGTAAGTCTGCACCTGGATTTCCAGTTGAACAGATTATTTAATACTTGCCCTAAGTAATACTAGTTCATGCTGAGATCTCATCAGATACTCAAAACTAAAACTAAAACTGATTAATGAAATTGCTATGGAAACCGATGAAACTGCATGATGTGGTGGCTGTGACTTTACAGATGGCACCCCTCCATCTAAATCAGTCCTGTACCAATGCATCAGCCTGCATTCTTAGAGGGCATTGTACTGTTGAAGGTGCCATACCTTGGTTGGGAGCTAACATGAAATCCCTAATTATGTGTGGTCATTAATGGTCATTTTGCAGGTTTCTTAACAATTGGTCTCTTGGCCTCATTTTAGTTTAGGTAACTATCTTGCCTACCTGCTATCTGACCGGGGAGTCAAATGAGTGTGGTATTTTTATCCACATCCTCTTGTAACCTCTTATGAAGTGTCACTCTGTGCTGTTAAACCATTGCTGGATTCTCCTCTAAGAAGCGGCAGCATGTAAGTGTCAGCATGCACACACACATGCAAATTCAAAAGCACTTGCCAGGCTTTGCTTCTACAAGGTACTTAAATACTGTATGCTCATGAGCATGCCGGCGTAAAGTTGGGCATGTACCTAAGTACCTTGTGGAACTGGTACCTAGGTTTTCTGAAAATGCAATGGCTTTATCTGTCACTATAGAATCTCATCTGGAAACAGTTAATAAGATGGTTTTATGCACTCATTGCGAAAAATTTCCTATAGCTACTCTCTTTACAGACTGTTCACACTGCCTCAATTTTTTTACTATATGTTACTAGTATCTGTGTATAGTGCAGCTATAATGCCATTTTACAAGCTCCTGCTCATGTCTAGATATTGGGTGACTCTCTAGGTAGTGGGAAACAAGTATGTGTCTTAACTTGTTTTTGCTTGCTCAATTACCCTATGATCTGTTTTAATCAAAAATGCTACATCATCTCCAGAGTTTCTATTTGTTGTTCAGTCTGAGTATTATGGTGTATTAGACATTTATAAACTTTGGTAGAAATAATTTGGACTCATGTCCAAATATGCTCCTTCTATTGTATATAATCTCCTCTCCTTGTATACCATAAATTTGCTATGCAAAAGGTGTTTGTACACTTTGTTTTGGAGCCTAGTAGAAGTCTGTTAAATGCATCAAATATTCTCTGAACTCTTTCTTAGAGCATCAAAAAGAGCTCTCTGCTTCTCAGCTTTCACATGGCTTTATTTGATTGGTGGGAAAATACCTAACTTACCAAAGACAAAGTACACTCTTATATTATTTTTGTTAGAGCAGTTAACCGCCGAGTCAGGTCATATCTTGGTTTTCTCTAATATGTAGGTGTGAAGGCCAAAAAACTTTCTGCATAAGACTGGCTACACTATTATATTTGAACTTGGCATTTTTTTGCAATGAGTTCCTACATTTGTAAAACCACTCTGGCTGCACTTATGTTCAAGCTATTATTATTATTATTATTATTATTATTATTATTTAGATGTCATCTGCATGAGACACCACTTTACACACTGTTTTGACCCCTCTGTAGATTCAAGTGAACAGATGTTGTTGCTTTTAAGATGGCTAGCTGTGTTAGTGACACCTCAGTTTATGTTTCTATCTAATAATCATACAGCAAGGTCAGGGTTCCCATGTGGTTCACTCAGCTGGTTGACAGAAACTCCATTTGCATGAGAGTGAGCTAACACTGATAGGCTCAGAGGGACTCAGAAGTTATTGCAGCCCCCTTGACTGAGAGATGCTTCCTCTATTTCTTATGGGGTTGTAGTCTGGGGGGTCCGGTTTCAATCTGCAGTTGCTTTTGCAGAGCTCAGTCCTGCAGTGCGTTTGGCTCCCTTTCCACTGTTCAGTACCTCAGTTTTAGTAAAATCAAATGTTGCATGGGGATGGGTGTCCTAGTTATAAGTGGCTAGGTCAACCTAGCCTTTTGGGAAAAGAAGTCTGTAACATAAGCAGAATCTTATGTTGGCTGGACAAAACTGTCAGTAGATTGCCAACCTGATGAGAACACATATGGTGGCACAGCTACAAGGTCTTAGTTAGTGTGTGCCAGGGGGATGGCCCTATAAATGTCAGATGGAACTTTTGAGGAGAGAACATATGCTGTTCCTGCAGCGAAGAGGGTGAGATCTGCCACCTTTCTAGTGGAAAAACAGGAAAAGTGGAAACCAGTTCTGTAACAAGGATCTCTTTGTCCCTCCTTAGCCATAGGACCAGCAGAAATTTTGAGTGGGCACACCAAGATACAATGTTACTATATAATCTTAACCTAATGTTTCCCCCAATCTTGTAACAGATATAATAATCTTTTAGTGAATTACTGCTGAAAGTCTTTGTGAACGGGTGGATTGTTTGACACGGGGAGTTTGCATGAGGCAGGCCAGAATGTGTATACTAACTGCATATAACATGAGAGAGAGGGGGTGGCACTCTCCTTAGCAATCCAGTGAGGAGATGCTGTACCTCTGCAGTAGAGAACTGCCCACAGTATATTCATGTAGGGATACTGTATCTTGTTTGCTGGATAGAATTAAAATCAGTTTATTTGAAGCAACTGCTATCCAGAACCATGGCATCTGGGTTCTCTTTTACTTAGCCATACCTCTTCTTAATTTGAGGGTTATTAGCCCTATTTAGGTTTTGCCTCTCAATAGATGACGTGAGAAATTATTTATTACCAGGAATCCTGTTTTTCTGTTTAAAAACCCAAAATTCTCTGATTTTAAAAATGTGGGGTTTTGCAATTACAACAAGGCTTAAAGGCCTTTACATATATAGGTATCAGATGAACACAATGTTTTATTGATATATTTACAGTTTTTAAGCAATTTAGAAGCCTATCAGTGCCTCAATCGCTACAATAAAATACATTCTAAATACCTATATATTTTGGTGCTTGATTTTGGGGTTTTTTATCGTAGAAAATCAGAGCTCTCCCTGCCCCCTTAGCTCACCAGGATGTGGATCCAGCTGAAGCTGTTTC